CGGCCTCGAGGGGCGGTTCGCCGGACGGGCCGGCCCACCGGCCGGCCACGGAATGACCCACCCCGAGCGACGCACGGACGGCGGCCTCGCCACAGCGGACAGGGCTGCGGCGCGCCTGCGTTGACCGCACTTTGGCGGAGCGGGTTTGTTGTTTATGTTTGTTCGACGACTAATTGCGAGTTTGAGAAGGGACGGGAGGTGGACAAATAAATCGCCGAGAAACCGTTTAAATATGACTCGTTTTTTTGAGACACTAAAATGAGACATAACAGAGCAAATATGTAAACGTCTCTGTTTGTGGACAGCCTTTGTGTGTGTGTGTGTGTGACTTTCTTCAATTTTCGGAATGCATTACCGGAGGCTTGTTCATTTATTTATTTATTATTATTATTATTTCTTTTAAATTAAGTTGCTGTTTTCTCTTCTATATATCTCCAACTATTTTGTCATTTTATATAAGTGTATAGCTTGCTATTGCTCGTTCGCCACAGTAGTGATCGCTTAAAAAATATTTTTGCGTAACTCAGTTTGGTGATGTGTTTACCTTTCCACTTTCATTATTAAAACTGAAGAAAAATTGAAATTAATAAAAGCGGTCTGTGCGTCTAGTTCTTCCACGGAGCAGGTCTCTGCCCAAATCTCTATGTTTTTGCGAACAGTTACTATCCAATGACAAGATCCAAAATACTGCATCACTCCAAAGCTCTCATCTATATACCGAGGGACAATAAACGAGCGAATTGTCATGCACATTGTCGCTGGAGCCCAATTAACTTTTTGCTCAAAAACAAAATCTAGCTACCCTCCAGAAAAAAAAAAATAAAGAAAAGCAGCGTAGCCTCTGGTTTAATTAAATGTCGAGTACGTTCCCCCTCCCCATAACGAATAAACTTCACCTCCACCATTCGGTCAATTCATCGGTTCTCGATAATGTCTTACTTGATCATCCCAATGCGCCGGATAATTTATACCCCGATGACTCGGCCGGCGTCCCCTCGCCCACCCAACTTTCCATTTTGGCTTGCACCTGCCGCCGAGAGCACAGCCACACATCCGGCAGTGGCGGAAAACGGACACCGCAACCGGCTCTCATTAGCGTCCTATGGTTCCCACCCAACCTTCTTTTCCGCGTATACCCCAGAAGACTGCCGTGTGCTTACGAGTATATGTATGTATACAAACAAGGCCCAATTAAAACCCAAGGCCTCTCGACTTTTTCTCCCAACCCCGGCCGTCAGCGGGGATATGGGTTTTCGGTTAGGCATCTGCACTCCGTTTTTTCCCCTTACGATGGAGTGCAGAGAGAACCCGCGAACCACCGGAACCAATCCAACGTTACGCGAGTGCCACGTGACTTTTCGAGAAGGGGTGCAGCGACTCGCGGGGCACGTAGTCACGTGGTATGCGTGTGCTGCGGTGTGCTTGGCGGAATGGCTCATGTATATAGCGTCCGCTGCGCCGTCCATCGCACAGCCGAAACGGAGTATAATGAACTACAGGTTTTTATCGTCGCTGCAGTGCGACTCGGAAGGAGAAAATACCGCCGTATTAGTATTATTTTCGGGCGTGGTCCCGCTTGGTACAGACAAACATGCACACATACAATCGGGCGAACGCCACAACCAGCGATCGCTATGCTCTCCCCATAGTATATCTACTGACGCGAAGAAATAGTATATAGTGGCTCATGTGCGGCTGCTCGGTGTAATCTCGAATCCCGCCCGGTTTCTTTTCTTTTTTATCGTACCGTTATTTATTTTGTCTCGTTGCGATCAGGCTGGATAATTACCGGGCTTCGATAACAAACGGGCAGTCGAAAAATACAACAATAAAGCGACGGGCAATCGATTGAAGCGGCCGACCGAACGACAGACCAATATGAGCCACGTGAGATCTATGAAACGTTATTATAATGTACTGAGCGGACGGGGGGAGGGTGGAGGGCGTACATATACCTTGTATCTTGAGGATTTATTTTCACGGCGAGCTGTCTTTTCTCTGCGGTCCTATTATCATTCCGTGGGGTTTTATATATATATTTTTTTTCGCTCTCTTTCAAGGTATGCTGCGTCAAACACCTGCGGTTCGTAAGGAGGGCGCATTCCTATGCGTGGTTTGATATGGCGGTCAGTCGCAATCTGGTCTTTCTGTGCACGCTCTTATCTATAGTTCAGACCTGTGGGTTAATGATTAGTGTGACCTTCGATCGAGACGCGAGTTAAGAAACACGATGTACACGACAGGTCCTATTTCGCGAGAGCTCACTGCATTACGGTCACTGGCAGGATTAGAACGGGAGGGAGGTCGACGATTAGGTGTCCGGACTCCAGCGCGATCTTCTTACCCTCGACGATGCTTCGGCATCTCGTGGGCCTCGAGCGTGCATGCACATGCGGCCAAAGCACGACCATGGCCTCCTCTATACTCACAAAGCCTGGCAGTTCGACGACAGAGCCATGGAGTGCCCGGTCGCGGATTTGAAGCGCGAGGATCTGGTGGCACAGCATTTCTCGGGGAACCTGGACGTCAGCGCACAGCTTTTGTAGCGGCGAGGACCCGAAACACGGTTTTCAAACCCGACGCGAAATGAAGCGGTTGCGCGCGGAACGCGACGAGTACGAGCGGACATTTCATCGCTCGGGAGCAGTGTGTTTCGGCGTCTCGCCGCAGCGGGGCGCTCGTCACCTGGCTCCCCTCTCATCCGTTCTCTGCCGCTCTACCTTTTCGCTTTTGGCGGCCGCGTCTCGTGGCGATCTGCCTGGCTTTGTCAGTATAGAGGAGGCTATGGCACGACGGAAGGCAACCCGCACGTGCCGGAGGCCGCGGGCATCGGAAACAGAGGCCTTGCCGTTTTCACTCCATCAGTGACTGTAGAGAAAGAGAGAGAGAGAGATGGTGTTCTGTTTGTAGAATTCACACTGATCTCGTGTATTCGCAGAATGTGAAGGAAATGCTGTCAACGAGGTATAAGTCGGACTTCAGCCAACGCCATTCCGATGGAGTCGATCATACAGCTCCAAAATTACATCGTCCCGGCGCTCGTCGCGTCGTATGGGCTTTCTATCGCCAGCTACACAAATCACAAACGACGTCCACTGACTTTGTACTTAGAACGACACGCGCGCGGCAAACTCACCAGTTAAAAATGCGTTACAGGAACACGGTCTGATTTATACGTATACTGTTGCTAGGTGTTTTTGTGCATCTTAAGTGTCGAGTAGTTACCATCTCCAATTTTGTCGGGCAGGTAGTACTTTCGTATACGCGCTCATTTTATCTTTAACGACTGTATATATGAAACGAAAAAAAAAAAAAGAAGTTTTAGCTAATAACGATTTTGAGCGGTTTTAAGAGGTAAAGTACAAGCTCTATATCGCTCGCGTCCCGTTGTCGATTCAAGGATGAAAGCCTCGCAGAACCGGCGTTGTCTTCCCCGAGAGGTCGTCGGATTATGGGATAGATTAGAACCGCAGAAACAAAGAATAATATAAAAAGGGGCGCTTGTTAAAGCAGCGGCCGTGCGCCGCACATCGTCGTCGGGTGCACGGCCGAAAACGTCATAGATCACGTGGACGGCGACAAGGCCGATAAGCGGAATGGCATTCCCGTGTCCTCGGTAAAAAGCGCCTTTATGGGCAAACCGTTCCCCGCAAAGAGCTGGGCCTCAGGTTATCCAACCCTCCGCCGAGAAGGTGAAAGAAAAACCTAATAAAAGCGTCGAAAACGCTCCGTCCAACTCTCACAACACCCCAGGGTGTTGTGACGACCACCCAAGAGCTTTTCCATGCAAGAGATAGGTCACGCCGAGCAGAAAAGGAAAATGAACGAGTGTATTTTGTCCCGTAGGATGAATATATCTACCACCGCCCATGTGTCCAGTCTCGGAGGTACCTGCGTGCCTGTCTGCCCCGCGACGCACTCGAAACACCAATCGCATGGTCTTTTATCAATCAGTTCAGCCAATGAGAAGGCCGGGCGTATAAGGCTCCAGGGCCTTCATAACCGAGCTTGAACCGAGAAAGTCATTTGGCCGGTTTTTGAGCCTCTGACGGCGATAACGTAGTCTATAAATAAATTAAATAAAAAAGCATTGTTCAGAACGGAACATGGCTTTTCACGGAGGTCAAACAGTTTGCTTCCTGTCCCACGCGCACTTGCTCAAGCAAATGTTCTCTTCATCAGACCTGTTGCGTAACTCGCTCCATGTCAAGTGTCTAAAAAAAAAAAAAAAAAAAACGCGTTGCAAAAATAATTTATAAGCAACGCATCAACGAGTGCTACTGTAGCCCCAGCGATTGACGGAGGTTTGTTTATGTGCCCGCTGAACATAAAGAAAGAACACTCCCTGCATGTGTTCTTCCTTTGTGTTCAGCGGGCATAAACGAGCAATGAACCAACTGGCTCAGCTCAATGCCGTCACAGTTGAGAGAAGATGCCAAAGTTTAAGGACCCGTTACCCGAATCATAAGCTACGATTATTTGGACAGCTTTAACAAGAAAATGGAGTCCAACACACAAAGACGAACAACGCCTGCTCCTAAAAACAGACACCAATTTTTTTTCTTTTAAATAATTTTGTAATGCTTTTTAGTTTTAGAATTTGGTATCGCTACGTTTTGGTTGGGTTCCCAAACCACTCACTGCGTTCTAGGAGAGTTGGAGGTTTCAGCGTCGCGTAGTTTAGTTTTGCGGTTCAAAAGACACCCGTTATTTAGAAAAGGACTGTACAAGCTGGGCTGTGTTGTTGGCGACGGCCAAATTCGAACATCCAGACATACCTTCACTTTCTTCGCCGCCGTCAACAAGTAGGCAGAGAACAAATCAGATGACAAATCATTTACGTTCTGTCACAACGATCCGTCCGAAGGGTTCGCTTGAAATCCGCGAGGTGCCAACTATGTTGCCGTAGAAAGTGCGAATAAAAGTTGCTCGTTTCAACTTGTCTCTCCCTAAATTCCCAACGTTTCCTCAACCTCCGTCTCTCCGCTCCTCTGCCACAGCTCACGACCGCTGCCTGCCGACGCCCCCGCTCACCCCCGAGTCCGACCCGTACGCGGGCATCTCCGGAGGAGCGTACTGCGGCAGCGCCATGCCCCCCTGCGCCTCGAGCTCCCTGTGCCTGAGCCCGGGCCTGATGGGCGGCTATTGCGGGAGCCCTTCCCCGCCGCATCACGTGGCGTCACCTCCGGTCGTGATGCCGGTCGCCTTGCTCCCGGTCCAGAACCCCGCCGCCTTCTCCGCCTTCCTGCACCGCCACCCGTTCGCACCGCCGGCGGACCGCCACGAGTCACACCAGCAGCGTCATCGCGACGTGGCGCCGACGGCTCCTCCGGCGGTGCGGCGACCCCGCAAGAAGTTCGACTTCTCCCGACTCGCCGAGTCCGCGACGGCACCTGACGAAGACGACGCTCTGCCCCAGGTTCCCAGCGGCGCGTCGCCGCCGATTCACTACCCCTCGTACGTCCTGAGCCACGTGTACAACCAGCAACGCTGTGGCGGCGGTGTCCTCGGCTACACGAAGGGCAAGGTGGCCACGATGGCGGGGGTGTCCGGCGCGGCTGCTCTGCGGCCCGTCCGTTACCGCGCGCCGTCGCGGCCCAAGAAGGAGTTCATCTGCAAGTTCTGCCAGCGGCGCTTCACAAAGTCGTACAACCTGCTCATCCATGAGCGAACCCACACTGACGAGCGGCCCTACACGTGCGACATCTGCCACAAGGCCTTCCGCCGACAGGATCACCTCAGGGACCACAGGTGAGCACTGGTTTCCTCTTCCACATAAACGTCGTTTCGGCCTATACGATGAACCGCACCGGACGCTATTTGAGCGATACTAGCGAGATTCTGAAAGGATGACACTCGCGCCGCATATTGGACTGGCTCCGGTGACTCTTATGTCCTCTGCTGTGGTCAATAACAATGCCCAGAACGGCCACCGACAGCTCAAGAAACGAGGGGCGTGGCCTACTATGATCACACTTCCTGCTTCGGAATTCGTTCTTCTGGATGCCTATCGGCTCGCAGTCTCACATAACTGCAGAGTGATGAGTGTTCGAGAATTGCCACGTCCCGCATTTCTTAAACTGCCGGTGGCCATACACATAAGTCGGCTTCGGTGAACCGCGAGCGTCGCTGTGCTTGTTTTTACAGCGTTTACTCCATTACTCCATTGTACCAGAGTGTACTGTGTACACCCACGAGGCTCTGATGGAAAGTTCAGGCGCATACGTAAATTTTGTCCCACTCGTATGTAGGACAACCAGTAAACTGCGGATAGCAAATTCTCTCGGTTTATTTTATACTGCATTTGGACGGAGCAAAGCACTCGACAGGGCTAGGGCGTTTTGACACCACCACCTAGACAGAAGGCCTCTGCATAATCTGCTCTCCCTTCAAGAAACATTATCAGAGTCTGGTCGCGCTAACTCGGCTATTGGGCCTGAGCCCGACCATCGTTCGACGCGCTGATTGGACAGCCGAACACTGACACAGCACACCTGTCCAATCTCACGCCTCGATCAATCTTACTGCGATGACGCGCGCGGAGGCCTTCTGTCAAGGGGGCGTTAGCTTTGAACGATTTTGCCGGAAGTGGTCTCTCGTGACATTTTCTCGGATACCGGTTGCCACGAATTTTTCGCTTTTTTGTGACACTCACCACTCTCGTGGTTGAATGTTAGATGATTGACGTAATTCCTGTCCATGGCTACAGGGTCGCGAGATTTTCTTTAACTACAACAGCCGCACCTGCACTAGCTCAACGCGCTACAGCACGATATTTGTGCCATTTCGGGGGTAAGCGCACTATTCCGCGAAGTACGAAAGGAAGAAACGAACTCTATTGTGTCTTGGAAAGTATGAGGAAAGTCGAGAGCTGTGTTGTATATGTATAAGTACAATGCAATCCTGCCGCGTGAACGGAGAAGCGCAGCCTTTCAAGAAGCGGAATGTCTTATGGCGACAACAACAATTTTGGAGCTTTGGAAAGGAACCGGCTTTTTACCCGAAAGGGTTGCAGAGAAGCCGTACATTAAAAAAACAAAAAGAAAAGGGCCTTTTTTTTTGGGGGGGGGGGGGGGGGGGCAAAAAAACTCCGCACCCTGGGGCACCGGTGGCTATGCGTCGGAGTTCCCGCGAAATGGCGAAACGTGACCTTGCTGCGACTCGAAATTGTATGGAACACTACACAACGCCGACGGCAAAACACCGACAACAGCAACAACAAAAGACGGGGTCCTTAATTGGCAAAGCTGCGCGGAAGAGGAGAGCTTCCCTAATGTCAACCAAACCCCTTCGGTTACACTAAAAATTATACAACCCTTTCAAGGCTTTTTTTTTTTTTTCAATGGTTTTTAAGGGGTGGGACAAAAAAGCTCTTCCCTTTTTTGTACAATCAGTCGCATCCTTTCAGTTGCTCTTCACCGTGAGAAGAAAAAAAATTACCCTTCCAAGACCGTTTTTTTTTTTCCTTTGACGACAATTTGGGACCCGCTATCTTCTTTATTGTTCGCATACGCGTGTTTTTTTCTTTTTTTAGCGCTTGAGGAACGCCTAGGAGCGGCGATTTGTGGTTTAGGAGACGTTGCTGTCTGTCCCCGTCCGACCAATGCGTCGAGAAACTGACCCTGAAGGCAGGCTCTGCTTTGGATGCGCGGCGCCTTTGGTGCGGTCGCCTTCCAAATTGAAAGACGACGCCGACGTCGCCGATTCCATAGAAAAAAAAAAAGGCGATTTTGTTTGTCGTCGTCGCCACACTCAACCCTTTTCTCCATCGCCTCCTTTTTGTGCGAACCCTTCCACGAGTAGATGCTGCGACATCAGTTTTTTACCCAATTTTTTTTTCTTCGCTTTTTGTTGTACAAAACGGCCTGCTTGCACACGGGGACCGAAGAGGCGAGTGCGCTGATGTTGGACGTGAAAGCGTGAACGAGTCGTTCGAGAAGAGATAGCGAAACGGATAAAGGCAAAGATAAAACTTATTTTATGTATATAAAAAAAGAGAGAGGGAGGGCGTTAGCTTATGGTTGGCGTTTGTACAAAAGTAAACAAGAAAGTCGGTAAAGGGTGGCGTGCCCGTGTGCAGCACGAACGCTAATCATAGGAATGTTCTAGTATTCTTGCAGCTTCAGTGTCCGCGCCCTTTTGTTACTTAAAATGTCATGACTGTAGAACCATGATAAAGACCGCCCTTCTCATTGGTCGAATGGATGAAATGATTGGATGAAATTAAATTGGATTGGGAACAGGTTGGTGTTTTGAGTGCATCACGGTGAAGCGCACACTGAGGGTACTTCAGATAATGTGTTAACATACAAGAGAACATTACAACGCAAAGAAAATTATCAGTGTTGAACTGCCGAAACGCTCGATAATGGCAACAACACACGAACGGAATTTGACGCTATGTCATCTATTTGTCGTTGGAAACGTTTAAAGAAATCTTGCCTAATTCCTGGTTTCCTAATGCTCGGATCAATCAACTTTTCACAGTCAGTGTAGCTGTGAGAAGATTGAGACGATCTCATTTGAAAAATGTATCATATTTCTACCGCCAAAGAAACTCTATGTGTTTGTTTCATACACCAACATTTTGTTCGTGCAAATCTTGCGTCGTCTGCGGGCAGTGTTCTGTTCTGGTGGGTTTACTCATCCATAAATTCTGGCAGGGGAAGAACCAATGAAATTAACGTTATGCTCTGCCAAACACTTCCAGCGTCTGCTACCGTTAACACGTTGCGTGCTCACCTGAAGTAGCTAAAGTGTGCATTACGTTTCTCTTTGAGTGGCATTACACCAGTCGGGGCTGTCTTTCGTTTCGTGTAAAATATTTTCAGTCACACGTGATATTTCAAAACACGGCAAAGAATAATAATACAAAACAAAAATCTCATACGCGCACGGTAAAACTTGTAAAAACGAAAAGCCAGAGAGCTTATTTGATTTACAAATTTCGCCCAGCTTCGCAGGATGTGATGTCTCATGTACACACACGCACAAAAAAAAAAAAGGGAGGAAAAAGGGGGGGGGGGTGTTAAGTAAGACTCGCAACATCAGTGACATCCAGTTAGCGAAACGACATGTGCATCGTTGTCAATTCCGACAGCGAACAGCGCGAATAGCTTTCCTGTGTCTCTCAGGCCTGCCAGTGAAATATGCGAAGCAGCTGTCTCCCTCCTGAAGCGAAGAGGGGCGGATTTGAGGAGCGCGTTACGAAGTCGAAACGTTCTGCAATTTGGTGACAGCTTGCCTTAGACTTCTCAGGAGAATTTGAAGGTGTGGGGGAAAAGAAGAGGCAGACGCAGACATTTACGAGAAAACATCTGAAACGGGCGCGAGTGGAAGGGTGCTTAGAAGAGCAGTTAAACTAACGACCCACACTTCAAGCTGTTCTAGCTCAAAAAAACAGCGTGGGAAAAGAACGGTTTGGTTGCAGATAGTTCCCGTTTGCACCCACAAAATCGCAACTACAAGTTGCTTGTAATTGCTTCGATGACTCAAGAGAAACAGAGAAAGAAAAGTTACCTCTAACATCCCCCAAGAACATAATGGCTGAAGATTTTTTTTGTTTTTAGACATACAATGTGTTCATAAAAAAAAGGAAATAAATACATGTTTCCCAAAAATCTACCGCAAAGATAAACTACGCATCGCCAAACTTTCATTCACCGCCTAAATGTATAGATGTCCAAACCAGATGCCAAAGTTTCAGCACCAACCATGATCTTATTAAAAAGTTCTAAGCGATTTTCCGGAAATTTTCAGTGGCAAAATGGCGGCCGATGGACCTCTTTTCATACGCGGAGCTCAATGGCGCTAGTTATCGAAAACGGACGAAAATGGGCCTAATTTTCCAAGTGAAAATTTGAGAAAATCATTTATGCCTTTTGAATAAGAGAACGGTTAGTTCTGAAACTTTGACATCTCGTTTCGGACGTCGAGGGCTACATTTGGGCGGAGAATGAGCGTTCGGTGATGCATACCGTGTTCGCTCGAGTAATAGGCGCACCGTTGATGAACAAAACCTGTGGGTCTGCTTCCCCGCGGAGCGCGGAAATAGCGAATCACCGGGATCGACAGACAAATAGCAGAGGTTTACGGGACAGAGATAACATCATCACGCGAAAATGCTATCTGTTCAGATCACATTTTCACGGCGAATTGCGTTCTTGGCCATGTTATTCGTTACGCTTTTTCATGTAGAGCGCGATGATTGGCTGTATCCGTGTTCTGAAGGGAAGTATCCTAAGGCCTTATAAGAAGTGCGGCGGTTACTCGGGTAAATACGGTAGTTTATTTTTGCAATAAAAAAAAAAACAGCAACCCTATAATTTTTTTTAGGGGACGCCTGGTATATATTGGTTTTGTTTTTGTCTATCTATCCTGCAATTCATTTGAATTATTTTTCTTTTTTGAACAGTGTCCGCTCACACGGACAGATATTCAGAATCTACAACGAAACTAGTTTTAATTACCTAAGAATTATCGACCTGTTGTATTTTACAACTCCGAGTTTTCTTATAAGCGACATTGGACATTATTTAAAAAAAAAAAATGATAATCGGCTGAAGAAGGAGCGTTCATCTTTCTGGTGTTCGGCAACAAGCTTAAAAAACCACTCCGCTTCAATTTTGTTCAAAAACAACAAACACACACACACACACATATATATATATATATATATATATATATATATATATATATATATATATTTATCTTTCTGGGCGAGAGTAACGGGCGACGTCAGCACCGTTTCCTCGGTGCTCAGCGGTGTGCACGTGACTGGCGTAACGCGCCTGCGCAGCGCGCTTCTTGGGATCCGTTCGGCCGTCCCGCCGTTACCGCCGTTTCCCGCGTCACAACCGCCATCGTCTCACCGTTTCTGATTATTGGGGAACTGTAGTAGACCGTTTCCGTAGCCCGCTAAGCAGCCGGATAGCGCTCCGTAATCTGCCACGAGACCTTGAACTATGCAGACAAGGCTGGCGCCGCGCATGCGCAGCTGTGGAGTTTTTTTCAGGGATACCGTAGCAGAGGAGAAAAACGGTTTACTAGAATTCCCTAGTAGGAAGTTTTCGTAGACCGTGTTGCACCCCCCGCTAAGCGTTCCGGAACGAAGAAGTTGCTACTGAGCCTGCGCGCCGATAGCCTTGACTGTGGAGTTCCCGCTATCGTAGCGGGTTGCGGAGGGCCTTGCGGGACGGCGAAAACGATGTACGAAAACTCCCCAGTGTCTCTCGGAGGTTCGTTCACGCTACGTGCGCAGACTTTCGTCGCAGTTGTGCAGACTTCGTTGAATGTCGTAGACACCAAAACGTGGTGAAGGGTGCGGTGCAGACGACACTTGCGCCTTGCACGCGTCCGCCCGTCGTAGCGTAGGATTACGTGACATCTCGTACACGTGAAAGCCGAAGTTTCAGTTTCGATTTCTGCTCATGTTTGAAGTAAGATTTAGCAATATATATCCCATTTTGTTCGCCACACAAATGACCTACTGCCTTTTATTACTGCTTTTTAATATGAGATCACTCATTATCCCGAAATTTTCGTAATTAACAAAGTTGCCCTTCAAACATTTTTTTTTTAAGAGCAGTTGTTTGGGTTATTGTTTTATGTGTCTTAACTGCTTATCGACGATGTTACAAATTCAGGAATGGAGATCAGGTGGAGAAAATGTAAGCTACATCGAGCGTACGCTCGCGCAACCAGGCGCATTGTCAAACGAAAAATTCGGAAAATGGTCCACTGTGTGCACAAATTGTTGGCGTTTTCTTGAAAATGCTGTTCCCTGTTCTGGCTCTAAATCGACGCCCCTTCTTCTCTTCTCTGCCCGCCCTCCTTGCAGGTACATCCACTCGAAGGAGAAGCCGTTCAAGTGCGGCGAGTGCGGCAAGGGCTTCTGCCAGTCACGGACCCTGGCCGTGCACCGCATCCTGCACCTGGACGACTCGCCGCACAAGTGCCCCACGTGCGGCCGCAGCTTCAACCAGCGCTCCAACCTCAAGACGCACCTGCTCACGCACACCGACATCAAGCCGTACCACTGCCCGGCCTGCGGCAAGGTCTTCCGGAGGAACTGCGACCTCCGGAGGCACGCACTCACGCACGGCATCCGGACGCCCGACACGGACTCCGAAGACGCCGACTCGCAATGAGTGGACTCATCTCCAGGCCATGATTTGGGTTGTAGCTGAATGCACCCGAAGAAAAATCAAAGAGGTGCATCGTGGAAACAATCTGGTACTCTGTGAAGGGACTTGCTTGTTTACGGTTACGACGATATTCTCTGGACGCCAGATCTTGAGCACCCAGTTCTCTGCGCAAGCTCACGACGAGACCGCTGTTATCGTCTGCGGAGATAGACAGAAAGTCTTGATTGTATATCATGTCGTCAATGGTCAGACTTGCAGGGGCGTTATGCAGAGCCACCGAATAAGCTACGCTTGTAGAGTATTGACACTCTTCCAAGGTTTTCTTGTGTGCGCCACCATTTTGGCGGATAGAGCAAACCGGGCGCCATTATTGAACACCGTCACGATTCGAAAATGCGACTTCTTGAGCTTTCGACGCTGTGCCAGGAAGATCGGGTGATATCGTTTTGCTCCGCCATGGACTCTTATAACATTTTTGAACGACGGAAAAGCGTTTTCTGCGATTTCAGATTAAAACTTCAGATAATTGGCAACTATGATTTTAAGCATCAAAATGGCCGGAAATGTCTTTACTCTCAAGTTTATATAGCGTAATTTGTGGCTCTAGACTTGTGAGAGCTCACCATTGGCACGTGCTTTACTTCGTTCGGTCTCAGTTAAGGTCGCCAGTGAACGTCGCTTGTTCGTCGTTTTCATTGACCCTCATTTGCAATGTCTGTTGTTGCCGAGCGCGTGCTGATGGCGAGCTCACGCAACAGTGGCTCGCGCAAATGTTTCACATCAGAGAACAACGGGCTCCAATATGGCGTCCTCTGAATACTAGTGAATACCACCTAGATCAGCTGCTGCTCAACTATGCACGTGCATTATGTGTCGATGTGAGCGATTGTACTATACCTGAATGTGCGCAAAGGTTTGGGAGGACATCATCACCAGACAATGTTCTGCTAAGAAAAACCTGTTTCTTTTTTGTTTAGTTTTTTAGTTATTTTTGTACATTATGTATAGGATGAAGCGTGATCTTAAATTTTTTCCAACAAGTGCCAAGAATATTTGAGAAAAAAGTGCCGTCCGTAATTTGGAATTGTAACATTTCCTCCGATGATAAAGCAGTTTCCTCCATTCAGTTCCTTTAGAAACAAATGCACTTTATGAGATTTTTACATGTCATATTCGGTAAACAAATGCGACGTATACCCCTTGGTCAGAGCCCTGGACTGTTTCTCGACGGATGCGCTCATGGACGTCTGTGGAGTTTTTTAAGTGTGTCGGTCACCATGATTCTTCGCTCATATCGCGCAGCATGACGCCAAAGAATAACGAAGATCACAACGTTCTTGTTTGTTTATATGTTTGCTCGTTTATGTTCGATCCTTAACGCGGTCTGCGTGTAAACAGCGCCTGGCTCCCCGATTTCCAATGATCTCGTTTATAAATAGGGCTTTCTGAAACTCGATAATTTGTCACCATGAACGCCAAACTGCTAAGAAATAACCTTTTTTTTTTATTTGTAAAGGGGGGGGGGGGGGGGCTTTTTGGCGCAGTTCAGCTTAAACTTGTTTAAAATGACCAGAGCTGAACTTTAAATCCAAATGGGAATTATAAAGGCCATTTAGTGCCTGTCGGATTTAAAGAAAAAATCAAATCCGAGATCTGGAGGCCCCTATTGTTATAACTTATAAGTTTGAGCGTCAAGTGTTGTGTGAATGTGAAATTATCTATTTGTATTAAAGCAATGTTTGTTCTTACGAAGGTCCGTGTTTCGTGTATTTTTCCCGTTTCACGTATTTAGCAGCAGTTCGATGAGACTCTTCAACGTAAGCGCTCCGTGCCCGCCACAGAAGTTAGAAAAAAAAGAAGAGAATTTGGTGCAAAAGAATTAGCATTTTTGAAATAAGTTTTATTTTCGCACTTTAAAAACTTTGTGATTTAACTTCTCTGCAGAACACATAGAGAGCCAATCGCAGCTAGCAACGGAATCATCCCAGCAAATAAAAAAAAAAACAATAAAAAAACAAAGATGTATGACGGTACGACGAGCATGAAGTTTCACTTGCTCATTGTCCCTTAGCGCATTAGAGTTTTCAGGTCTAACCGTGTTCACAGCTAAGTGATCTGTCGGGATCATTTCCTTTCGTTGTTCGCCGTGATTGGCTGTTTCTGTGTCCTGTTGCGTCTGCAGAGGGCGCTCTTCAGATATTGTGGTCAGCACACACTCGCGGAACCTGCACCACAATGTACTGGGAACACGCGCGAGTGCAGATTTCTTCAACAGTTGATCACCTGAGGGCCGTTAAGACTATACTATAGAGGGGAGCGCTACCGTCGCAGGGCACGTTGCATTCTGGGGAACCTGCAGGCCAGGAGCGAAGCGCGTACGGATTTCGCTTCCCACCGATTCCCAGAATGCATAACGTGGCATATTACGCTGCGGTGAGGCACTTCGAGTTTCGGAATAAATCTATCAATGCCATGCTCTAAAAAAAAAAAAAAAAAAAAATCGCTGAGAGCATAATTAACGGCAGGGCGTGGCGAGTCCCTTCAGCCAATCAGATTGCGGCATTTGCGGATAAGATCGCCAACGAGCCAATCACGAAGCGAGAAGCGTGAACACAATGAGCTACACTCTACCTTTCTCAAGTTATCAACAACTACACATGGTTTTTCTTTCTTTTTTTTTCAGATTTTAGTTTTTTTTTAAAAAATCGAAAAAGCTATACGCTAAAGCGGTCTGTGGAGGTAAGTTGTCAACCAGGAGGACATAATATAGAGGGCTTATCGTCCCGACAAATTAAATAATTACCTAAAATATGGTAATCAGCTATATAATTAGGGGGAATAAATGTATGGTTGAAATTAGAAACTTCCTGAGTGTCGTTTGATACTTCTAAATACATGTGTTAACATTTTAGACAAAACCCCGAGACTGGGGGGAAGGAAGGACAACACAACACGAAGTCTCAAACACATCTCTGTGTTTGAGACTTCGCATTGTGTTGTCCTTCCTTCACCCAAGTCTAGGGGTTTTGCCTAAAATGTTAAACCTTCACTAGCTTGTTTGGTCCCTAACGTTTTGTTTGGCAATTAACTTTTTTATTTAGTGAAAATAAACGTACGGTTACAGTTATAAACTGGCTGAGTGAAACCTCTAAATCAATTTTAGAGACACTTGAAGCACTTGTGAAGCGCGGGGGACCGCAAAAGTTACCACTTCTGCTGCAGGCGCAAGGATACCGCGGTGCGATAACGCCCCGAGAGGTTTTTCCGTATCTTATCATCCACGTTTCTTGTTTGTTTGGTGTTGGTGTTGTTGTTGTTGATGTTGTTTCCAGTTAGTCTTGTGCATGTTGCACAAGTGGTGTCTTTAGTGCACTACTGCGCTTTCCACGCGCTTAAAGTATTTCTAAAAATTGCTCATTTCGTGGTTTTCGATGACGCACAGCAAGTTTCTAATTGGAACCGAGCAATAATTTAAAAAGTTGATGAAAAGTATCAGTTCAACATTCGACTTATCGCCACGATTATCCGACTATATTATGTCCCCCTAGCAGTATATTTTTACTGCAGAGACCACAGAAATGTAGCTTTCACGGCTTTATTATTATTATTATTACTTTTTTTTTACGATTTGCAAAGTTTAAAAGCAAAGAACACCCTGAATAATAACCACTCATTTTCCATGGCGGAAGGGCTGGGCATCCCCCAGTGCGAGGGTTGCTACGGCAACAGTTACGTCGGCTCCAACAAAACCAGTTTTTACCCGGTTTTTATTGAGTCGACGCAGCTGTTGACATAGCAACCCCCGTACTCGATCAGACCCAACGCCAGTGTGTGAATCGCCCTTAAAGGGGCCCTGCAATGGCTTTTTGACTGGCTTTTAATTTGCACCGAACCTGAGCGCACTGAACGCAGAACCTTACTGAAACTTTTCTTTTCTGGAATTTCGCTATATTTTAAAAGTTATAAGAAAATTAAAATCAGAAAAACAACAAAAAAATAACCTCCTTCACGACGTCCTTGGTCGCTTGAGTGGCCGTGAACTAGAGGAGGAGTAGTGAGCTCAGCGAGCGCTCACGGCTGCCGCACTCCATGTCGACGGCTAGAAAGGGTGCCACTAAAGCATGTTCTGGATAGGCTGGATGAAGTGGGCGGCCATGGCGGCTCGCATTTCATTTGCTGCGCGACTAGACACTAATTCGGCATGACACTTTATTGGCCTCAAACGACAGCAAACACGGGGTAAATATCAGTTCAGAACGGGAGTCACTTCGCGCTGCCAAACCACCAAAAGGTCAAACCGCAAGCCAAACCTGCTCGCCGAAGGCCTTCGGAGTGCTCCAGTCCATACGACCGCAGCGCCGCCGCGTACATCCGGGACCTTTTTACGCTCGCTGCTTCACAGCAATGCGTGGCCAGCGTTGGCACCTGATCCCACTAACCTTTTCTATAGTATGCACCGACTTTTCGACCGCTTGGTGGCGAGTATGTCGACGGGTCATTTCTTGTTTCCGTACTTTATAAACTGCATTTGTTTCCTTTCTGACCTAAAATACTAAACAAAAACTACTTTAAAAAATAATTGAAACAATTCGCGCCACATTTCGAAAAAAGAAAAAAGCTTTTAGCAGCTCTGACCAGTCGTGAGGCCGGAGCTGGCCAGGACCGATAACGTCACGATGTAGTCACATGCCGAGCGCGTTCGGCCCCACGGGGCGCCCCTGTAGGTTGAGGAGGCTTCCGCGTCGCTCGGTTAAAATATGGCGCACTGATATTTAGTTACTCTCTCCGCTCCCCCTGGGTTGCCCGAACCACAAGAGATGTGAAAACCGCAAAAAAACGTATAGACGCATAAAAAGTATAGCAGGGCTCCTTTAAGCCAATGACATCCAGAACGATGATCATGTATTCCGAGTGCATAGCCCGGTGCTGGCCTAATTTGATGCACTTCTGTGAGTGACTGAGCAGAAACAAGCATTCTGAAACAAAAAAAAAAAAAACAGAAAAAAAAACTGCATTGTGAAAGGTAAGCGATTTGCAATGCACGAATCAATTTTGTTAGCGCTTGTTCGTGAGTATGAACGATGGCAAATTATGAGTGTACGGATGAGCTAGTCAACGATATAACCATTTATTATTAATTTCGAAGAAACTTCGGCAGTTTATGCTCCCGATGTTCTGGACAAAGAACGTTGTAAAGCAAAATACATAAAAGAGACAAAAAAAAAAAAAAAAGCGCATACACCTTGAAAAAGAAATTTAGTATTTTGCGGAGTGTTGACGTTGACAATTTTGTGACACTATATTCCCAGTTAATATACAAAATTTCTTCAACCATGGGTCATAGATTATCCTTTTTTTTTCTCTCTCTCTCTCCCTTCTAGATTTAAAATGACACTGAAGACTGTTTAAACTTGAGAGATAAATCGCGTGTTCTAAAGCTCGCTATGGAGACGCCAAACGGCAGCTCTAGTGTTTTTTTTTTTTTTTTGCCAAACAAAGCGCGTTTTGACGAACCTGATAAGATAAGGGGTCATCAATGGCGTGAATAGGTTAGTTGGTTGCTGCAGAACAGCCTGATACCGCAGGAAAAGGAAGACGTACAAGGCTTTGCAATGCATCAAAAGCGAAAACTTGTGGTAGGTATACCTAGGAAATAAAATTTTGAAGTTGAATTCGAATATGCACAAGGATGCTTTACTAAAGTAAGCTTTTTAATTCAGCTGTCGAAGCAGTTTTTAGAGCGCAGCTCTTAGAGGCCCGTTTCCAGCCTGAGCGGCGTCGGCGTCGCCGTCGGCGTCGGCGTCGGCGTAACCGGGGGGGGGGTCACGTGACCCCCCCCCCCCCCCCCCCCCCCCCGAGGTCACGTGACTACCCGCAGGTGACGTGACCCCCCTCAGTACCCTTCCCTACTCCTCCTCAAGAGCTGCGCTCCAATTCGGCGTTACAGGGATTTGTAAACGGCTTTCATTTTTTTTAGTTTGTTTGTTCGTTTTTTTACAACGTATAAAATCCAAATCGACTCAATATTCAAAAGTCTGAAGGAATACATCGCAAAAAAAAGGAGTAGGTCATCACACCATTCATTTTAATATTCCAGAAACTATAGAAGAGGACAATTCAACCCCCACTATGGGCAATAATCTCTATCTTCTCATTCGCCACTCTTTTTTTTTTTTTTTCGCAGGTACAAAATTGGAAGGAGCGACTCATTTCAGTTCAAGATTATAGGCCAAAATAATATTATCTTCTTCTCGAAGCCGCTGTCCTGTATATGGTTGACTTTCAAAAAGTCCCATATATGAGCAGTTTCCGGTCACTAATCTGGTTATAGTTGAAAGCATTCGTTTTCTCCTAGTTTAACGACAAGCACCGCTCATACGAGTACAGCACGTCCTTCCTCCGTTTTCGGCAAAGCGTGAGAAGACACCAGAGACTTAAAGGTCGACGGTGAAAGATAGTCGAATTAGATGTCTAGTGAACTCTTCACCAATTCGTTCTTTACAAATCGAGCGTGTCTACCACAGACATTGACGTCAGGTAAATGCAGGGTCACGTGAACGAATGAGGCGTTGCTTGTACGCTAATCCAATCGTCTCCGCCACTGCCAAACTCTCCTTTTATTAAAATGAAAAGAACAAAGTAATAGACTAAGATTAAATGCAAAATATAAACATGCAGGTCCACCTCTTCGCAGAACGAAATCGGAAAGAACAAAAATTAACTTAGTTCTTATGTTCAACACAGTGCCGCAA